GATACTGTATCACTGTAATTAATTACCAAGCCCCCTCTCTCAATGCCCTCCCCCTTATTTATCGAGCAGCTGTGCAGAATGCCAATGTCCTTGTGGACTATTTAATATTTCCTTTTGCGTAACTGTTAACAATTCTGAGATAGTTAACAGTCTAACGACACGTTGTTATCATTGATAGTGTGCAGCGTTCTTTAAACGGATCCTATTAAAACGGGGCATCGACTTGGCGGAACTAACAATAGATAGTAACTGATAGTTAGAATGCTCAATCACGAGGCATGTAGCGATACATCAATACAGAGATGTCGTGACAGGTACATCACAGTATTGTAATATTATTTGAAGGATACATGTATCAGCGACTTCTTCCCAAAATATTAACGATTCGAATAACGTAACTGGTTTGGATATATTACGCGAAAAAAATAGAAAGTGTATTTTGGTTTGGAAGGTAATCCTTGTTAAACAAAATGAACACATCAGGTAGGCAAGGATGATAGATAGTTCTTTAATTTCAAACCCTCGGAATAACGCAGCCCTCGGGTTAGGTAATCAAAATCATCACCCATCCCTCTGTTCGTTGTCATACCTTAACGGTAGTGGACAATTTCACAAGTGAAAACAGTCCCAACGAGTCAAAATGTTTAAACCTTATCAACTTATATCGTAACCGGTATTGCCAGTAACCTAACCCATGACGCCAAAATATTAAGAATCTTAACCAGGACCAATGACGGTGTGGTGACAGTGGAGGTCAAGTAATCACTGGGAAACACTAAACAACAAAAAATCAATTCTACCACTTAATCTTTCTAATTTTACCAGTTTACTTCAATTAGAATTGAATTTTACAAAACACAATCTAAATCATATATTCATGACCTAACTTAATGACGTACCATCTAAATAATATATGCATGGGCTAACTTAATGATGTACTATCTAAATCATATCTGCATGGCCCAAATTACGAAAACACTCTCTAAATTAGCGGAGCACCATTTGAATTTAAAAACCATATCCAAGTTATCAGGACATGGACTAGTTTTCAGGAACAACAACCAATTTTCAGGAACAGCAACCAATTTTCAGGAACATAACACCTCATTTAAGATTGTGCCTTTGTTCCCGAAAACTAGTCATTGGCGCCCGAAAATTAAGTCGTTGTCCCGCTCACTCGCGCAGCGGTATTCCCTTTGATGTAGCCGCGATCCGGCGAAGCCCGCACAGGTGAGGCAGTCTATAGTCCCTGCCTTGCTTGCCGTGTTGTCAGTATAGCTATGCAAACACGGCCGCTCTAATTCCGTAATCAAAACGATATAATAACACAGGTCGATAGTACACTTATATTTACTTCGAATGAAATAAATAAAGACCACGGAAATAATGCTTATTTTGTACTACGGCCAGGGGTAGGATCGAAATGAACGACCATTTGAGAATAATGCATAACTTTTACCGTACTGCTGAACTGGTGCTTTGCTACATCACTCCAGCGACACATAAAGCCAGTATATACGTCTCTGATCACTCATATAATAATCAAAGACACAAAATGAACTCTCAATATTAACGATATTTAATAACGAACGATAAGTACGTTCCGATGTCGTATACAACTTATATTACGTAAACTATATCCCCCGGCTCTGTTCGGTTTCTATTTGCTAATTGTCCAGTATTTATTGATCAATTCGTGCAAATGATGAACCGATTGTGTAAATGTTCATAAACGAACCACTGTATATATATATGTTAAGACAGCTTACGTTCCTTCTTTGCTTCATATACCTTTCAATCGTTTTTAATGTTGTTAATAGTTTTGTGATTTATATAATCCTCTTAGAAAGGGGTTCCCGATCACCTGTCCTCTAAGCTTTTAATTTCTATTGTATTTAACATAAATGTATTTTATTCATATTTGGGTCTTTTAATCATTACTTATATAATTGTAATTAAATGGAACTTTATCTTTCCTGTACTGTCGTAAGAGTATCCCTTCTGAGTTAATTTTTCATGTTATAATATTTAAGGTTTAACTTTCTATTTAGTTTAGATTATCAGGTAATAAATAATCGGCGAAGCCGATAAAGATAAATTAATTTACCCGGGTTCCATTGCAGTTATCACCCGATAACCTAAACTAAATAGAAAGTTAATCCTTATATTTATAACCTTTTTCTTTACATAAAACGCGTCCTTTTATGTCATCAAAATAAACGTATGTAAATGAACACAAAATCCAGTCGTCCTGTAAGTCAACAACGTGACGTCATCGGAATGTATGAATTTCAACAATGTATGTTTACATTTCAACAATATATCTTTTGCATGAATACACTAATGAGTTACAAATCTGGTATCCAAGGTACTCCTGTTAACTTCCTAAAACAGCAATGGAAACTCCCGGATTGTTGACACTTCGAGTGATAATGACAATGATCTCCACAAAGGCTTTCATTAGAAAAATTACCATTTAAGTTATGTACACTTATGTGTTTAAAGTGAACGAAATTTTCGAAATATCTGGTTTCTTTATTCATTTTAAGCGAACTTAGCCATTTCAGAAAGATAATGTGCATCCGTATGTCAGTTATCAAAACTGTATAAAATAAAATGAGAAAAAAATAAGAGCGTTATTCTTAACCAGAGACGTATATGACAATATATACGACTTTGGTGTATAGTCTAAACAGTTGCTCTCGTCTAACGAACCTGTGATTATTAAAATTCAGAACCTATGAAACTTCTTATCTAAAAGGTAAAGCGTGATCCGGTTGTTAAATATATGAATTATCTGAATTAATATTGAATATAGTATTACCTGTCTTCAGACAGAGACATATAAAGCCGTAAGGAGTAGATACGTTTCTGCTTCAGGTTAGCCATGACAATGAGAATAATATATTAACTAAAGGTATTTTGTTTTGGTTTCGTTTATATCATAACCAGAGACCTTCTCTGTATTAACGTAATATATTAGGTATCAGTACATTTTACTCATAGTTCCAATAGTATTATTAATCATTATCAAATACATATATAGATAAAATATAACGCCGTGTGAATGATGTAATTGATATACAATATGTGTTAAGATAATTTCTGTGCACTGATCTTACACGAAAATGGCGCCGTTTCATTGGTTGATATACCTGTCAATCACGCGCGGTAGAGAGATGGGCCCTCACGGTGATTGGTTGATGTTCTTGTCGATGCTCCGCTGTTGTTTGATTGACAAGAATATCACGGGCCGTAGTTCGCGTCACACTCTGGTGCATGTACTCGCAGTGACATTTTCTATTTCTTTTTCTGTTTCCTGTTGTACAATATATTTAAACAAGAAAGTGATATTCGTTCTGAATTCTTTATTAATTGGTGCAAGCATCCCATGCAAAAAATTTATGATGAAAAAGTAGGTTTACTTTGTTTGTAATGTATAATCGTGCATAGAAACCTTACATGTGGATGTACATTGTATTGGACATGTATGTTCAAATTGTAGGTGTATACATATAGCTGTTGGTCTGTATGAACTTTCTAACTACGCATTGAAGTAAAATGAAATTTTATCACTATTTATAAGCTTCAAGGAAAATTCATTAAAAAAAAGTTGTTGAATGAGGTAAGTGGTTATGAAAAAAACATTTTGATATGATTCATTGTATGTGCATGTTTATATATTTGCAAGTAGGTTGGCCGAGTTAATTATTTCTATAACAAAGGAAATATCTTGTTATTTCATTATCTGATTAAGTAACCAGCATCCGACCTTGGAGAAGTTGATTCTGTTTGACACCTGGACAATAAGACTAACCGTACATCGCCCGAGGTGGTCACCTATCCACTCCAGGTGAAATTTTCACACCTCGCTTCACCCCAGTCAGTGAAAACAATAGATCGGCCATCGCTCGATGGTCATATAATTTAGTCTAGACAAACATGTGTGGTAGTTAATGGCAATATACGATGGAAATAATTAGGCCTACCGACATTTTATAACACAAATTCTGAAAAGAAAACGAGCACGCATTAAATAAATATTCACGGTTACCTTGACACATCGTGTGAAAAATATCATGCCGATTTTAATGTAAATATTACTCCAGAAGGAAGACGTGTATTGAATTCATTTCAGCAATAGATTGTCTGTTGCATTAGAAGTTTATTAACCCGTGCCTACGTTGAAAAAGTTTTAAAATCGGGGCATGCCGTCCTGACAGCATGGTGCCTGAAATCGATCCAAAGTTAACGTTATTGTCGTAAACAACTGACGGCGACTGCTTTATTTACACTATAAACCCTTTTCGTTGAATTGAATATTAAGTGTGTTTTTTGTTTTCGTTTCTATACAAGTTGATTTCATCGTACGGCTTGCCCGTTATTTGGGCCATGCAGATATGATTTAGATTGTGCATCATTAAGTTAGCCCACGCATATATTATTTAGATGGTACGCCATTAAGTTAGGTCATGAATTTATGATTTAGATTGCGTTTTGTAAAATTCAATGCTAATTGAAGTATACTCCTAAAATTAGAAAGATTAAGTGATAGAATTGTTTTTGTTGTTGTTTAGTGTTTCCCAGTGTAAACCAGTGGATGTCAATTAAACCAATGACGGCGTGGTGACATTGGAGGTCAAGTAAACCAATGACGATTTGGTGACAGTGGAGGTCAAGTAAACTTATGACGGTGTGGAGACAGTGGAGGTCAAGTAAACCAATGACGGCGTGGAGACAGTGGAGGTCAAGTAAACCAATGACGGCTTGGAGACAGTGGAGGTCAAGTAAACCAATGAAGTTATGGTGACAGTGGAGGTCAAGTTAAAGCAATGACGACGTGGTGACAGTGGAGGTCAAGTAAACCAATGACGGTGTGGTGACAGTGGAGGTCAAGTAAACCAATGACGGCGTGGAGACAGTGGAGGTCAAATAAACCAATGACGGCGTGGAGACAGTGGAGGTCAAGTAAACCAATGACGTTAACGTGACAGTGGAGGTCAAGTTAAAGCAATGACGACGTGGTGACAGTGGAGGTCAAGTAAACCAATGACGGTGTGGTGACAGTGGAGGTCAAGTAAACCAATGACTGCATGGTGACTGTGGAGGTCAAGTAAACCAATGACGGCGTGGTGACATTGGAGGTCAAGTAAACCAATGACGGTGTGGAGACAGTGGAGGTCAAGTAAACCAATGACGGTGGGGTGACAGTGGAGGTCAAGTAAACCAATGACGGCGTGGTGACAGTGGGGGTCAAGTAAACCAATGACAGTGTGGTAACTGTGGAGGTCAAGTAAACCAATGACGGCGTGGTGACATTGGAGGTCAAGTAAACCAATGGCGGTGTGGTGACTGTGGTGGTCAAGTAAACCAATGACGGTGTGGTGACAGTGGAGGGCAAGTAAACCAATGACGGCGTGGTGACAGTTGAGGTCAAGTAAACCAATGACGGTGTGGAGACAGTGGAGGTCAAGTAAACCAATGACGGCATGGTGACTGTGGAGGTCAAGTAAACCAATGACGGCGTGGTGACAGTGGAGGGCAAGTAAACCAATGACGGCGTGGTGACAGTGGGGGTCAAGTAAACCAATGACAGTGTGGTAACTGTGGAGGTCAAGTAAACCAATGACGGCATGGTGACTGTGGAGGTCAAGTAAACCAATGACGGCGTGGTGACCTTGGAGGTCAAGTAAACCAATGACGGTGTGGTGACTGTGGTGGTCAAGTAAACCAATGACGGTGTGGTGACAGTGGAGGTCAAGTAAACCAATGACTGCGTGGAAACATTAGAGGTCAAGTAAACCAATGACGGCGTGGAGACAGTGGACGTCAAGTAAACCAATGACTGCGTGGAAACATTAGAGGTCAAGTAAACCAATGACGGTGTGGAGACATTAGAGGTCAAGTAAACCAATGACGGTGTTGAGACATTAGAGGTCAAGTAAACCAATGAAGGTGTGGAGACATTAGAGGTCAAGTCAACCAATGACGGTGTGGAGACATTAGAGGTCAAGTAAACCAATGACGGCGTGAAGAAATTAGAGGTCAAGTAAACCAATGACGGTGTGGAGACATAAAGGGTCAAGTAAACCAATGACGGTGTGGAGACATTAGAGGTCAAGTAAACCAATGACGGTTTGGAGACATTAGAGGTCAAATAAACCAATGACGGTGTGGAGGCATTAGAGGTCAAGTAAACCATTGACGGTGTGGAGACATTATAGGACAAATAAACCAATGACGGCGTGGAGCCATTAGAGGTCAAGTAAACTAATGACGGTGTGGAGACATTAGAGGGGAAGTAAACCAATGACGGCGTGGAGACAGTGGATGTCAAGTAAACCAATGACGGGGTGGAGACATTAGAGGCAGGGCAAACTAGAGTGGATGGGAACAAAACTTGTTTTCACTCTTGACAAGGTCAACTATGAAAGTTAATAATGAAGTAGAGGTCAAGTAAACCAATGCCGGTGTGGAGACATTAGAGGGGAAGTAAACCAATGACGGCGTGGTGACAGTGGAGGTCAAGTAAACCAATGACGGTGTGGAGACATTAGAGGCAGGGTAAACTAGAGTGGATGGAAACAAAACTTGTTTTCACTCTTGACAAGATCAACTATGAAAGTTAATAATGAAGCTTAGGAATAACATACATGTAAATAAATATGGAACAAATAATTGACAAAAAATGCATATCATTTTGCAGTATTTGGTAATACATTTATGAGCCTATCATGTAGCAACAAGAAGTGTCCTATAACGGTTACAAAGGAGGAATTGTGTCGGCAGGAGACCAGCATGTCCCGGTGTAACTGTGTCACGGGCAGGGCGTGTCCCTAAACGTTCGTCGGCCCAACGCGTAACGAGGAAGCATTACAGATAGGCATCGTACATAGCTGGCCATGCTGTCGACACGCCCCTATCATGTACACAGATGCTGGCAGGCGATAGTCTGTTAACGCAGATTTTACTCGGTACCCTGAGAGTTCACGTGCCGCTCAGTAAAGTTATATTTGTGTTTCTGTTACATCGATAACAAACTATGTTACCTATATATCAACCTCATCACATTGTGGATGAAGATTGCGTGAAAACAACAAGCTACACGTGTTTTTCATGTTGAGTACCCGGCCATTATATGTCAGAGCAAATAGTTCCACGTACGCAAATCAGCAAAATATTCTATTGATTATGAATAAATATGCGACTATAACTTACTACTAAAACCTGTGGTGACATAGCAGGGAATACATAACATTATACATTATATTCGTATAGTATACCTAACGCCTAGAGCGGTTTACGAGTTTACGAGTTGAGAGTTAAAAGCTGAATTTATAGTTATGTTTAACAAATTAAATTCATTAGCTTTTCAAAACATAGGACGATTAATATGACGAAAGTGATAATTAACAATAAAAATATCTCCTACACATCTGTAAGGACCTGTTAGATACATGGAATTAGTTCTTGAACTCAAAGGCACTGAAATTTTATACGAAATATCATGTAAATATTACCTCAGTATTAATTATGATGACTTAATTTTTGAATATCAGGTTACTGTTGGATTACAAATTTTAATTACATCCTGTATACATGTTTAATTCCATGTTGTTTTTAGTTTTTTGTTTTTCGTTTCTGTATAATATATGTTTACGGTAACGTGCGAAAATTTTGAAAAAAAAATACATATAGAGTAAATGCGAGTAAATATGAAAGGAGCTGAAGGAATATTAGTTACACTGACAATCTTTTCATCCTCTTAAAAATAAAGAATTGATGATTACATCTACTTTAGCTTGATTGTTTCGGCACGTCTCACCTAATGACTTTTACAGTCGAAGGGAAATAACTCTCACTTTTATGGAACGCCATTTATTGCGCCATCCGAAGTCAGGTCCAGTTATAAGATAAGTTAAACCCACTTATTGGTTGTATTTAACTTATCCCCAATTGCTTAACCGATAAATTCAATTCAATTGAAGAGGTCTTCAATCCTTGCTGTATTCATATTGATAGGTGGGAATCAATATTGAAAGCAATCGAATTAAAACGAGACCGGTTCTCATACGTTCCTTTGAATAAAAGACCTGGTTTCAATAAAGTTGCAATTGAAGATTTCTTTATATGAATTGAAGAGATGAACAATTAAATTCACCGATCGATAATTATTTTAAGAAGTCTACCAATAATTGGAGATATCTTCAATTCAATTGAAATTATGTCCATTTCAATGGAAGCTGTCTTCAATTCACCTAGAGAGTTGTTGTATGTATACCCTATCATCAAATGAGTAAGAAAAAGGTACATTTTAACTGCGATATCTACCTATTTAGATAGAGACAGGTGCAAATCAATTGAATATACCATTTTAATTCCATTGAAGAAACTGACGATATCTTCAATCGAATTGCACATTTCTTTAAATGACTGAAGATATGTGCTGATTATTGAAGGTATCTTCTACATATTTGAAGAGGTCTCATTTTTTGCACCTCGCCTTTCTTGATTTATTTTGAAGATGGGTGCAATTCAATAAACGCCCTCCCCGAAGATTACGGTCATGTGCAATTAGTCGGTGATCTTTACACTTGCATGCTGGTAGGGTCGCAATTTTTCATCCGAATTATTCTTTCAAATGCAAATTTTGATGTTTTGACTATCATTGTGAAGTTTGAAGTTCAAGTTTGTTTTCTTCGTGAACTTTTTTTGTGTACATTTTATGGAAGTTGTAACGTGTGTGTATATAGATCTAGGTTAAATTAACCAGACACGAAAACATAATAAAACAAAATTGATGAATTTTGAACTTGTTCAGTCATTCATTTGCCAAAATTTGGTCGTGCGGCGTTGAATCAATTTATGTAAACGCAAAATATTTGTACATGCTAAATATCATTTTACAACGTAATGTAATATGAAATGTAATAGAGAATTATTATACTATTCAGTTTTCCTAATTACCAATCTGCAATCGAAATAAAAATAATGCATATCCCTGATACCACGATGCACACATTTAAACAAAAGAAAAATATCAAGGTAATTTCTTCTGTGACATAAATTCTTCAGGGAAAATAACCACACTCTGTAATTGTTGAATTGGGTGGCTTCAATCCTATGTCTTCGCCGAGGTACGAGCGTCGAATATAAACTCACGTGCACGCATTTTTTTTCGCGCCTCCTTTGTAAAGACGACGAGTAAGTTGTGTAGCCGTTTAACGTATCTATCTCTTATCCAAACCCACAAAAATGGCAGAGTCCGACTCCTCACCGAAGAAAGCTGTCAAACCAAAGATGCCATCCCAACACCCTACCTATCTGTCTATGGCCGTGGAAGCAGTGACGACTGTTAAGGATGCGAAGGGCGTTTCTGTCCCCGCCATTCGTAACTTCATTACGGAAAAATACAAAACTGTTGACGTTGGCACCCTACGTTTCCGATTGAAACAAGCACTAGCCAAGGCCGTGGAAAAAGAGACAATTGTTAAATCAAAAGCCACTGCCGAAAAGCCTCTACTAGTCAGTAGGTTTAACCTCAACAAGGAAAAGCTGCTCGCTCTTGAGAAAGCAAAAGCTAAAAAGGAGAAGGCAAAGGAAAAGGCCGAACAATCCACGAAAAAGACCACAGTAAAGAAAATGAAATCTACAGAGAGTCCACAAAAGAAAACAAAAACGACAAAGGCAAAGACAAAAACTTCTCCAAAGAAAGCTACAAAGACGAAAAAGATTCCAAAGACACCAGAGAAGGTGGTGAAGGCAAAGGCAAAGGCTACGACAAAATCTGCAATTAAGGTATGTACTGTACTGTAGTTATGTTGAAAATGGCGTCGACGCGTGCAGGAGTTACTTTCCTTAGTTTTTATCGTAACCGCGAACTTTTCAAATTGCTGGGTGCTAGACCTAGTAATTGAAACTAGTAAATAGGCTATTGGCATATAAGTGTGTTCACCCATAACTTATTACCGTCCCTCATTTACCATATTCTTGAATGCCAACCATGACGCTTGCCAAGTGTTTGGCAACTTGTGAATCTTTCCCCAAGGGTTGAGATTTTGTCCTGTCCTGTTGACACTGTTATAAAAAATGTGATGTTGACATTGCCGGCTCACCCGAATGCATTGTTGATGAGATGTCTTACAATAGTGTTGACTTGGGATTCTCTTGCCATGGACAGGTGTATCCACACTTTTACAGGCGATAGATATCCTTGTCTCGCCCTAGGGTTGAGATGGGGGATTCCCCTATTTATAATAATAGTATGATGTCGCGTTAACAATACTATGACGTTGTATCAACAATCCATCAACGTCATGTCAACCCCTGTAACATTACATTATGTATATCAATGGGAAAACGGGGTAAGAGAAAAATAATCTGTGGCCCTCTTGGGGTGAGATGGGGGAATCTCTGCCCTTTTGGAAAGATTCTTAAGTTGCGCAAACACAAAGCTTTGCCGAGGAGATGAGATTCTATTGATCCCCACCCACACCATTTCAATCCTAGGGTGACAGGGCGAGACATCTTGCACCAGGAAAATTTTGGATAAACTTGTCCAGGGAAATAGAATGTCATCTCCCATCCCTCACCTTCAGTCGAATATGGCTCAATATCCATCTCGCAATTCCAGAGAAGAAGCTTACTCATTTGACTCCACCTCGCATCCCCTTGGGATCAAATCATCCTTTCTATTTATACAATTTTGATTCTTGAATGCCAAACAACCAAGAAAGATTTGACCTTATTTGGTTAGAAACAATCATTTTGTTCCCATAAGGTTGCTTGAAGCAATGTGGCCTATTTTTGCTGTGGTTCTCAGCTTCCCCTACAACCCAACCCCTCCAAGGGGATCAACTCTTCCATTTATACAACTTTTTAATTGATTTTGCCAATGAAAGCTTCCACCTTAACATGGTTCTTGAAATTATGTGGCCCATCCTAAGTTTGATGTTGTCTAGTCTGAGAATAACAAGCATCCTTAACACAAACCGGTTGACAGTTTCGGTACTTATTTGATCAAATATGACTGGAATTTAGTAAATGTAGCAGTCTGTATTTGGCTATAAAACAGCTCAAATGATGAAACTGCTTTTGTAAGAGTTGAATTGCAAGCAAAGAGATTCCTAATTAAGGTTTCTTTTAAAGTTATAAATGGATATCTTCAGCAAGTGAAATAAAGTACAAAATAATTCTTTTATTGCATTCAAGAAATAGTTTAATTATAAACTACAAGTAGTTTATCATTTTTTTAAGCGAGCACACAAGTATTCCTTGTACTGTGACTTTGGCCTGGGGCAGGCATAATGCTCAGCCCCTTGAGGCTCTTTGTTTATTATGTTCTGGATATCGAAAATTCCTGGTACTTCATTTTGCTTTTCAAATTCTATTATACTAGTTTATATGTAGTGGACCCATATTTACTAAATGGTACTGCCTGAGGGACCCTCCAACCCCTCCCAATGTAAAAACAGCGGAAGTCACTAAAAATACCTTTACATCCTTGAGGAAAATGCATTTTGTTAATAATCTCTTGCTAGATCTGTTGGACATGGGTGTATTTATTTTGGCTCACCTGATCCAAATGACTAAGGTAAGCTTATGTCATACCAGTGTCCGAATTGACCCTGGGGTCTGGCCCCAACTCATAGCCATTTGCCATTACTGGGCATCAAGATCCAGGTTAGCGATACAGGCCCTCTGGACCTCTTATTAGTTTTTAAGTAGTGTTGCTTCATTTGTTCATTTTTACATCTTTTAATATTTCAGACCATCAAAACTCCAAAGAAAACCACAAAGAAATCTGCCAGTGGAAAAGTGAAAGCCAAATGAGAATGAAATGCAATTGAGGACTTTAGGACTGTGATAATGGGAAAATGGACACTGATCAATATAGATTATAACTGTTCAAAGCATGGAGAATGAGTATTAATTTTTAACATAATTTAAATTTTAGCGCTATAAAGGAATTGTGCTGTTGATGAGAATCTGATGATTTTGATACATGACTTTTTAATAAATTGTTTTTAACATTCATGCTTGTCGAGTCCTTTAAAGGCTATGCAAGGTCTGAATTAACTACTATCTGGGGCCTGTTTATGCGATACAACCAGTACATCAGTTTTTAAATGTAACTTTTTTGTCAACACTTGCCTGAAAGTAGCATCAGATTACTGGGTCCAACCATTTCAACTGTTTGGACTGCGATAAACGGAAATGGCCCTGGTAGTTGTTTCAGACAGAATTTTCTTGTGGTTTCTATCCATTCTGATAGTTTGACAAACAATTGAACAAACTTCTATGGCATTGTACCTTTAAACAAAAGTCGTTAAAGCGCATAACATTTCCACATGCAGTCTTCTTTACTGCTTCGTGGTCCATCATTTATGGATTGGTGAGAAAATCATATATTAATTCTGAGGTTATTGGGTTCTGAACATCACCAGGGTTGGAGACTTCCACCTGGAGCTTTCAATACCGCACAACTACCTACATAGTCTGTACATGAAGGCAAACAAACCATTGTTTAAACTATAAGCACAATACGTGAATCATTTCAAATCAAATCCTCAAAATCTAGCATATAAAAAATTCTTCAATCCGTCCTTTCATTTGAGAAGTTTGTCTGGGACACATCTTCTACTTCACCTGAAGTTGCCAGATTTGGTGTACTATATATAAAGGTCACTATGACCTAGGCTTTGACCCTAACTTTTGAATATCTTCTAGACTATACTAATTAACCTGGTGTAACCAAATTTGGTATATAAGGACATCTTGGGATGACAGAGTGCACAAATTAGGTTACTGCAACCTATGACTCCTTTGAACTTGACTTTTGGAATATTTATCTTCTATACTATTTCACCTGGAGTAGCCAGTTTTGGTGTACAAGGACAACTTGGGATGGCAATGTGCAAAAAGTAGGTCATGATGTGCTGTCAGCATACATTTTCGAACAGCCAGACCGGGACCCTCTAACTCGAGATGGGACGCTCTACCAATTGAGCTACCTGAGTGCCAATGATCGACCCAGTCAAATCCCACTACACAGTAATTACTCTTTGCTGTTGAGATCTTTGGGTTCCATCAACTTCATAAAATTAAAACCGATATCTTTCACACTGATGGACATCGACCATGTGAAGAAATTACCCTTGGTATTGGACAATCCTATTGGTACATGCTATCTTTTATTTCGCTGAATCCAAAGTAGCAGATTTTCTAGTCTGAAGCACAGGAACCTGAGAACTTGTTGCAGCTATATTTGAACCTAAACTATGGGTTAAGATCATTATGGTATGGGGTTGTCTGTCCGTCCGTCTGGCATAAAAAACTTTTGTTTGTCTGGTAATCTCCTATATTTTTCGACCAATCTCTTTGAAACTTGGGGGATATACATCATAATCATGATATGAAGGTGCGTCTTCCTCAAAAGAATTGATTCAACAATTTTTCCAAAAGTTATTGCCCTTTGTTTATTTCAGTATTTGATTTTGTTAGGCAATCTCCTACATTTTTCAACAGATCTCTTTGAAACTTGGTTTACATTATAATCATGATATGAAGTTGTCTCCCTTAAAAGAATTTTGATTCGTCGATTTTTGCAAAAGTTATTGCCGTTTGTTCATTTCAGTATTTGATTTTTTGTCCAGAGATTTTCGTCAACTAACGTCAACCTCATTAATATGCAAAAAGTGGCACTATGACTGCAAAAAACTTTGAAAGATGGAAATGGCTTGTTTTTAGAGGAAATGGAGATCATGTCCGTGGATGGAAAATAAAGGTCCAAATAAATCGTAACAAATTCACGGGTCCTGTGGTCAAAAGCAGAAGAAGCAATGGTAGAATAAATGGCTAGTTCATCTTTGCTTCATACATCACGATAATCTTTCAACTTCACAATTTAACTTGAAAATAAAAAAATGAAATATAGATAAAATCAAGTGTTCGGCGGGTACAAATATAATTGGCCCAGACCAGGATGTGATCTCATCACAATCCTCAGAAAAGTAAAAGGTGGAATTGTAGTATTTTACCTGCAGTGGGACAGGGATCCTTCTATATATAGAATGAACGATTTTAGTTTTCTGGATACCACATTTTTATACGCCCGTCGATAGACTACATATTATGTTTTCACGCGAGCGGGCACACATTAGTTTCCTCTCAATAACTTGAGTAATTTTGAATGGATTCATTTCAAACTTAATAGGAACATTCATTACTATGAAAGCTCGGACAAGTTCGATAACCAAAACTATTTGCCAGTTATTTCCGGAGTTATGGTCCTTTGCTTAATTGCCGAAACAGTTTCCGCTCAATAACTTGAGTAATTTTTAATGGATTAATTTCAAACTTGGTAGGAAGGTTCATTGCAATGAAGGCTTGGACAAGCTTGATAAGATTTGACGCTTATCTTTCTATAATTATGGCCCTTTGTGGCAAACTGCTCATTCTACATCTGACGGGCGTATCATGTACCGTCTCGCGGAACTCTTGTTTTATGAAGTGAACAAGTTCTGCAAAAATAGAATGCCGCAAGAACTTGCTTATACAAAGGAATCTATAAAACTTAATAAAGATAAACTTGAACAGTCAAAATCCCTAATGGCTGCCTTGTTTGTCAATCTGTCTCAGAATTATGTGTATAGCTATGGACCGAGGGAATCTGGTGAGTAGTCTCTATAGCTGCAACAATCTTAAAAATAGGCAAGATGGCTGCCATCAGTCCTAAAATTAGACCTATCCGTCAAGTTCTTGAAATGAAACATGCACCACTATAGACCAAAGGAAAACCTACAAATGAAATTTGAGAAAGATCTGTGGAGTATTTCTTGAAAACGGCGATAACCAGAATTGTTCAAAGAAGCAGTCAGTCCACCATCTGTTGATGGTAAGCTGAAAATATGAAGAAATCAACAGATATTCAGCTTGGTGTTTTATTTTGTTTGTCTCTGAGTTGTCTATACAACTGTATTGCTCGGTCACGTTCATTATCCATCTTGTGCTGCTGTGAGAGGGACATCTGTTTACGTTTTAATATCTGACCAACTTCTCGTGTGGACGATAAAACCCCTTTTCCTGAGTTCTGATTTGTATTCTCTGCAATGATCGCCTTCAGAAGTAAAGATTTTTTGCCAGGCTGCAAGGAAAAACCAAGTAGATTGTTCATAACAGATTCTACAAGTTCAGAAAGACGTTCAAAGGGAGACAACTATAAATTACATATATTCTCCAAGTAACTGTTCACTATGATGTTTGCATTTAATTTCAGAATCAAACTAGAAAATATTTAGGGATCTTAAACCACATTTATATAAAACTAATTCCTCCTAAACAACCTATGTTATAAAGAAAATGTACAACTACTGTCTAAATCCATCAATGTTCTAATGACTGAAGTGTACCTCTGTCTCTAAAAGGTCTACTGACAGAGAAAAACTTGTGGCACTTCCTGGACTACCATTATAATAAGCATTCAGCAGTTATAAATGACATTAGTCATAACAAACTAACGTCACTTTCAACACATTACTTTGTGTGTCAACTTCTATGTGTATTCAATAAATACAAACTGTGAAACACTTAACAGAAAAATTCTTTCAGCCAAACAACTTTACAGTATGATTATTACTTAGATTTACAATTCTATAACATTCTGGTTACTCAGAAACTACAAACTGTATAAACATTTATTGAAATAATTGTTATATACAAAGGTACAAATTACAAACCCTAGGGACGGCATCCTTGGATCCAGGAGCTTTTCTAGGTTTAGCCTTCAGACTAGGTGGTGCCATGGCGACCTCTCCAAATTGTACTTTATCTATCAATAAAAAGGAGTTCTACAATTAAGGTAATAGGATTGTGTCGCCATTTCTCAGTAGTTTTTTTTTCATTTTTTTTGGTTATATTGCTTTGAATTAAAGAAAATTTTCTACCACAAAAAAAAAAGGTTGTCATAATTTTAAGGAATTAAAATGAAAATTTATGTAAAAAGGAGTTACTTTTGAAAAAAAAATGAAAGACAATGATTTGCAAAATAATGTCAATAAAAATGATACTGCCATAGATAAGTATTGCATTAATGTATATCAATTTAATAAATGCTGAAATTATGTCAAATAAATTATCTATATTCAAACGATTAAAAATTGACATTTTATAATAAAACCATATGCACATAGTAATTGCAGGTAAGAGTTATCTTTCTTGGAAAACTTCACAGTAGTGAAATAGGTAGCCAGTTTCCTGAAGTACAGAAAAATGGATACATGTGGCTCATTGATAAATAAAACCTGAATTAATGCCTTCATTGCTTTGAAATACTTAAATATTGAGAGAAACACTGTTCTGTCAATAATAAACATACAATATTCATCAGTTTAATATTAAACATTAGAATATGCGGAAATTGTGATACTGTCTCCCTACATTGAATTTTCAACTAGGGATGTACTTCCTACTTCCGTTTATCAATACACTCCTATGACCTTAAGCTATTGCAAAACTGATATAAATACCACACCAACACTGATATAAATAAAACACCAACACTGATAGAAATACCACACCAACACTGATATATATACCACACCAACACTGATATATATACCACACCAACACTGATATATATACCACACCAACACTGATATATATATACCACACCAACACTGATAGAAATACCACACCAACACTGATAGAAATACCACACCAACACTGATAGAAATACCACACAAACACTGATAGAAATACCACACCAACATTGATATAAATACCACACCAACACTGATATAAATACCACACCAACACTTAAAACTACAGCGTTATTGAAGTATTACATATTTTATAGTGTATTGGTGAAGTTACCCTATACAATATGATAAACTTCCACATTTCTACATTTGTCATCTTCATAATCAAAATGTTAAAGTTTAAGCAGTCATGATTTTTTTACAAGACATCAAAAGAGTGAGTGACCTGAATTACCATTTAGATATGAGAAATCTCCCTTTTTTTCCATTTGTTGTTCCATTTTCTTTTCTTTCTTGAAGGTTTTCTTTTCCTTCAGTCTCCTGAAATAACAATGTACAATGATGTTAGACAATAGGCCTATCAGGCTGGTTTCTTGATCTGGATATACATCTAAGCACCCATGGTATGTTATTCTCAATAAGATTAATATGCAAATATGTCCTCATTTTAGGCTTTTTCTTGGTCAATGAAACCAAGGTAGACGATGCCCTTTCTATATATAACCATTTAGTTCTCTGATGTCAGGGATGTTTCACAGCAGATACTAAACAGACACGGTCAGGTGGAGTTGACTTACATAATGAAATTACGCCTTGTAGAGCCTTGCCCATCAACCCAATAAGGAGCTTTACTCTTTACCACAACAACACATTGTCATTGGTTGGGAATATCAAATGTTTTTGACCTGGGGACTAAGTCCCTAGGAGTGGGGCCAGACCCAGTATAAACACCGAATGTTTTTCTTCTTCTGCGGAGCAGTCTGATCTTGATGCATGACCTGGAAGGGCCTTGGACATTTTGAATCTCAAGAGGGTCTGGTAGGCGGCAAATTACTCCCTCGTGTCGGCTGAACACAGACCACCATCAGCGAAGGAAGACGTAAAACCAATAAACCAAACCAAACCACCATTTTAATTCTAGCACAAACATTGTAAACAGGTATCTCAAATGTTCATGACTTTTAGCACTAAACAGTGATTTTCAGCACTACATTCAATACTATAGGATGAAAAAATGAATTCTACAGGTTTTTTCCAGGACTGTACCCACTAACCCAGTTAGTTAGCGGATCTGGGTCTGGGACTGTACCCACTAACCCAGTTAGATAACGGATCTGGGTCTGGGACTGTACCCACTAACCCAGTTAGATAACGGATCTGGGTCTGGGACTGTACCCACTAACCCAGTTAGATAACGGATCTGGGTCTGGGACTGTACCCACTAACCCAGTTAGATAACGGATCTGGGTCTGGGACTGTACCCACTAACCCAGTTAGATAACGGATCTGGGTCTGGGACTGTACCCACTAACCCAGTTAGATAACGGATCTGGGTCTGGGACTGTACCCACTAACCCAGTTAGATAACGGATCTGGGTCTGGGACTGTACCCACTAACCCAGTTAGATAGCTAACTCGGAGGAAACTTACTGCAGTTTAGCACTGTTTGTCTGTTTCTTCTTTTTTGTCACGTTTCCTTGTTCAAGTTCGTCAAAGTCAACCTAAACCAAAAATAAATACTAACTTACTTAATGTTTTAAATTCAGAATCATAACATTTAAAAACTTTTTGATGATTTTGATGAAATATTATGAGGGTATAATTAAGGTTGTCTACAAAACTTATATACCGGTAATTAACTCATTCACCCCTGAAATTTCATAATGAATAATTACAACTATTGAATTGAATTGGAAAAGTTCAATGTGTGTTCAGGGGTAAAACAAATAGAAAGAATGCGTTATACCACCATACTTTCCTTTGAATTTAAAAAAAGGTATTTGCAACTAATTTAACTTGATTGATCTATTTTTACTAGGAAATGTTTCTATTGATGTCTTCATTAAACATCATTTACACGCGTACCTCAAACTCATCTGACAGCTTGGATGTTAATATCACAGACTGAGTTTCTCTGTCTACTCTTGCCATGAACTTTCTATCACTCTCATTCCTGTGTTGGGTAAACTTTGGTGCTGGTCTCATTGGCTTTGTCATGCCCTTTTCTGCGTATTCCTTGATATCTGTAAAAGAATTGAAAAGTTAAAACAATAAAGATGTGATTATATCCACTTACTTTATACCAATGAAAACAAAATTTAATAGTTTCCAATAAAAAACCTTTATATTTCCTGAGTATGCCACCTGGTGAAGCCATATTTTAATGGCAGTACTGTAGAAGTAGACACTCTTGCTTGTGGAAATGTTTTCACTGCGACTTTTTAAACTTATTGCAGTGTGGTATGTTTTTGCATTGGCATAGTTCTAAAATCTAGATATTCTCTATATAAGTTTTGTAGATAGATAGATATATATTGGTATGTGGATATGTTCATCCTAATTTACTCCATGCAAAAAAAATCAATATTTCCAGTTAAACAGTTTTTTTTCAGCTTTAGCAACATGTTTGCAATTCTGAAAATCTTAAGTTAAGATATTGGTTTTCTTTTGATATACTCATACATTGTAGGTGTTGGTCACTCATTTTTCATCTAGCGTTTTTAACTGTCCCTGGTGAACTTAAAAGTTTGTCAAGGTCATTCATTTTAACAAACTTGATAACCTCCATCCCAGTATGCTACTGGCTACAGATCATCATCCTATAGCCCTTTTGGTTATTCAAAAGAAGTTGTTTAGGCCGCTTGGTTATTCAGAAGAAGTTGTTTTAAGATATTAATAAATTTGACCCTATGACCTTCAAAGTGTGTCAAGGTCATTTGTTTGAACAAACTTTCAATTGAAAGTACTTCATCCAAGCCTGTCACTGGCAAAATACCTTGACCCTAGGCATGGTAATTATACAGAAGAAGTTGTCTAAAGACGTTTACACATTTGACCCTTCCTACCCTGAAAGTAAGTCAATATCATTTATCTGTATGATCCTGACAGCCTTTCATCCTGGAAAGCTACTGACCAATATCATTATCCCGGGCACTTGGTTATTGGAATAAGATGTTTTACACATCTAACCCTAACCCCTGTAAGAATAATATGAGGACCAAATGAAAACTACTTGTGAAATTGGAGAGCGTAGTCAAGGAGAACAACTCTAACTTATTCCTTGTGAAATTGGAGAGCGTAGTCAAGGAGAACAACTCTAACTTATTCCTTGTGAAATTGGAGAGCGTAGTCAAGGAGAACAACTCTAACTTATTCCTTGTGAAATTGGAGAGCGTAGTCAAGGAGAACAACTCTAACTTATTCCTTGTGAAATTGGAGAGCGTAGTCAAGGAGAACAACTCTAACTTATTCCTTGTGAAATTGGAGAGCGTAGTCAAGGAGAACAACTCTAACTTATTCCTTGTGAAATTGGAGAGCGTAGTCAAGGAGAACAACTCTAACTTATTCCTTGTGAAATTGGAGAGCGTAGTCAAGGAGAACAACTCTAACTTATTCCTTGTGAAATTGGAGAGCGTAGTCAAGGAGAACAACTCTAACTTATTCCTTGTGAAATTGGAGAGCGTAGTCAAGGAGAACAACTCTAACTTATTCCTTGTGAAATTGGAGAGCGTAGTCAAGGAGAACAACTCTAACTTATTCCTTGTGAAATTGGAGAGCGTAGTCAAGGAGAACAACTCTAACTTATTCCTTGTGAAATTGGAGAGCGTAGTCAAGGAGAACAACTCTAACTTATTCCTTGTGAAATTGGAGAGCGTAGTCAAGGAGAACAACTCTAACTTATTCCTTGTGAAATTGGAGAGCGTAGTCAAGGAGAACAACTCTAACTTATTCCTTGTGAAATTGGAGAGCGTAGTCAAGGAGAACAACTCTAACTTATTCCTTGTGAAATTGGAGAGAGAAATCTCTAGTACTTTCTGAAGTTTTACTTTCCAAATGCAAGAAAGTCAACAAGGAGCAATCTTAATTTATCGATCAGTCTCAAAAGTAACATCAAAATAAAAATAAAACACCTATAAATGAAGTTTGAGAAAGACTTTTCTGGCATTCCTCGAGATCCAGTGATGAAAAGATTTGTTCAGGCTTTAGCATAAACTAGCATGTAGCTCACTTATTATTTGGACATGCAAGCCAAAAAATGCATTACCACTCTGCTGTTTCAACTTTTTTCTTCGGTTTAGTTTCTTCTTGGGGAAGCTTCCTTTGTGGTCCATGAAAAACTTGAGTTTTCTAGGAATTTCTTGTTCCTCTTCATTTTTGGGAGGTCTGTCTGCAGTTTTGTCTTTTCTAAAGCTGAAATACATTAAAACAGTATCATATACTGGTGTAAATGCATAAATCCAAATGCTTCAGTAGTTCCCTACTGGTGAAACTGTATGGACTACCACAAGTAGGTAACTTCTCGTAAATCTATAGTCTTGAAATTGTCCTTAGTTTATAACATATCCAGCGTGCAGAAAGAAAATTATTTTTATTGGATTGCTCCCCTCTCTCCTTTGAAAGTCCCTTTTGAAAAATCATCAAGACTAATTAATTATTTCAGTCAAATTGCACTATAAGCCATTCAAGATAGGACTTTAAATGAAAACCTTCACTACTGGCAGACAGATGACGAACCTGGGCTTGTGCCATGGCCATACACCAATGTATTCAATTCAATTCAAATTAGTTTATTATAGTGTCACATGTTAAAGGTACAAGTATTACAATCTCTAAAATATGTCTACTCACCCACCCTTACATCCAGTCTATATTAGACTTACGAGACTCTCACTCTTCTCCTATCATTCTAGACTGTAAAAGTATTACATATATATACATGCTTATGAATTAAAAACAATTTGCCAATATAAAACTATAAAAATAATTGACATTAAAAGACACATTGCTGTTTAATTATAGATCAAGTTGCGACGTCGATTGAGAATATTAACACAGGTTTTGGCACAGGACCTTGTCAAGTAAGGGTTGCTTAGAATTACAACTAACTTGTAAAAATTATTTGTGATTTTACTAGCCTCCTGCAATAGGCCTGAACGGAGATCATCATACAAGTTACATTCTATTAAAACATGACTCTCTGTTTCTACCAGAATGTAAACGTGTGCATTAGCTTGGTTACAGTGGTGTGTTTGTAGTGCCATGACAAGCAGCTAAGCTCTTTTTACTTTGGATATTGTTAAACTGGAGTTGCATGCATCTGAAAACATGTATAGCCAGCTCCTGTCATTTTGTATGTCTAGTAATCTTGTGCATCAATATCTGAACATATTTCCAGTGATAGCCTTGCTCAAGTCTAATCATAAAGGAAGACGGCTGAATGAGCTATAGGTTCCATGCACACAGTATATCCACTCTTTTTTACTCACATGCATCCATAGCAAAATAGTCAAGGATATTTTTTGTAGTTTCACTATATATGCACAACAATCTGTCAGATGGGAAATAAACTTTTTGATAATATGGACCACCAAAGACATACATTACCATCACATCAGATCCAAAAACACTACAAGATGACCTCAAACTTTTAGAAAACTTGAAATGGAAAAGAAATGGTTAAATGGCATTAAATGATCAATCCTGACAAATGTTTTACTATGTACATCTTGAAAACAAAACCCCAGCACAGTATATAGATAACATAGACAAAAAACTCAACAAAACATCTAGGCTTTTACATTACATCCGACTTTCCATGAACTTTCATATTACCAAAATCATAAACCAGACAGAAATCATACTGAGATTCATATATATGCAGAAACATTAAAACAAACGATAAGATAACAAAAAGACAAGTCTGCAAGACTTATGTTGACGTCAACAATCAGAATACTGCAGGACTATCTGGGACTCATGGCAGAAAACATTTCAAAACAGAAATATTCATCAGCTCATAATAATCATAATGATGTGGCAGATTTTAATTGTTCATAGGATTACCGTCGCCTTCTTCTTCTTTAGTGTACAAGGGCTCCATCAATAAAGTGATGATTATGCTTTTGGGAACCTATGCAGAGGTGTGAAAAAGGGGATTATTTACGGTGATTAGATAAGTGTTTTTTTTGTTTTTTTAGTGAAGGGTATAAGAGGGAAGGTTAAAAGCTGGTGTATGTACTAGCATGTGATGAGGGCTTCAAGGGCTGCATAGGGTATGTTAGCAGCGATAACGTTGCGAGCAGAGGAGGCCGGGTATTAATATTAGTACTAGCGTATAGGGTGTGCATGTCTGGTTCGAGGGTTTACAGGTGTGAGTACAAATGTTGGGTTGATTCAAATGTGTTTGAAGTTCTGACTGTAAATTGAAATAAAAATCATATAAAAGATTAAGGGTATACTTGTAATAGAACTACCCTTATTTTTTATATGATTTTTTTATCACAATTTTCTGTCAGAACTTCAAACACCTTTGGTTTATTGCTACGAGTTGGTCGACTATTTAAAAAAAGGATTATTCTTTGCACTAGAGGGAATTTCCCTTAGCTCAGTGGTAGGGTGTCCGACTAGGAACCTAGGGATCCTGGGTTCTATATCTTCCACAGGTCCAGTACACTCTGCCGATTGAGCTATATAGCTATAAGGACCTATATAGCTATATACACCTTTAAATTATAGCTGTATTGAGCTATATTTTCTCAGATTTCAAATTTCATTAAATTAAAGCAAAGTCACATAAAACAATAAGGTTTATGGTAATGTTGACTACAAAGAGCATATAGTTAAATGTTTATTTTCATTTTTCATAAATGTAAAATTTCCGATTTTTTTACATCATTATTTTTGAAAATATATATTTAATGTCTTTTGTTATCAACCTAATGATACAATCTTCTTTTAAATGCGACTTTGTTTCGTTTTCCTTAAAAAAGAAAATCACCTGAAAATAGCTCAAAAGACCTATTTCTGATAGGTCAATAGAGCTATTATAGGTCTTTACAGCTATATAGCTTAATCGGCAGTGTACTGGACCTGTTCCATACAATGATATAGATCTATGAGCACGGATGAAATTATCTCGATAAGTACAAGTATCTGTAGTAAGCAGATACATTTTACCTCTTTCTGTCACCTTCAAGTGATGAGTCGAACGGCAACACCTTCTTATGTTTCCTGGTTTTCTGAGGTTTACCTATTTTACCCATGTCAAATATGAATGTAAATAAAACCACGTTGTTTTTCTCACTGCATGTGAAGTACGCAAAAGCCCAATAATGATGACGTATTTCACACTTCCGGTTTCAAAACTGTCCAAAAGTGGGAAAGCTCCGGGGAGGCAAGTAGAAGTACCCAAGAAACCAGGATGCTCCGTGAAATAAAGGAGGAATCTAAATATTCGTCAACAGCAACAATATAACTGCTAAGAAGTGGTTATAACTTATATATACATTTTCCACTGTGTTTGCCAATCAGCTGACCGTTACGCGGTGTTGCTCTGAATTTCATCAGACTATATACAGTAGTCTGATAGTTGAAGACAACTACGTGAATATGGATGTGGACACCAATGCATTTGATGGAGTCGAGGACCACTTCATTAGCGTGACCTTGTAGACACTAAGTATGTTTTTATACTGACCACTTTTTTTTCTAAGAAAGGGGAAAATTGATTGGGTACAATGATCAATCAACTTATATTTTTGCAATTTTGGTGTCAGGGCCAGAGGAAACTGGTTATTCTATCTATCTATATGTTATACTCCACAGAGACCAAAATACTTTAATGCAGAGGGGGTTAAGTACGCATGTGATACTTAGCTTCGGTTAATCCCTGTTGGTAGGGATTGATGCTTTAAATGACTCTATTCCATGCGCGCCTACTGTGTTGTCCAGGTGGTTCCAATCTGTGGCTGTTCGCACAAAGAATGAGTTTCTGTATTGTTCCGTGTTGCTGTTGGGTATTATGACTGCTCTGTTATTGTTCCAAATTGAATTTGGAAATGGTCGTAAATCAGATGTCTCGCAGTCCTGGAATTTACGCTGCCATGTTTTCCTTTTTTTCACGCTGGAAATTAATCAAGTCTTTGCTAGGCATTGATGGAATTTGCTCCTGTACTATTTTATAATAGAATGTTAGTCTCTGTTGTTTTTTCGTCTTGATGCTAGTGGTGGAAGTTGTAGCTCTTTGAGTAGTTTTGTCCTGAATCCCTCTTCCCTTGTTCTGTAGTCCTTCATGAAATGCGCCCCTCTCCGTTGGATACTTTTCAATTTGTTAATGCTCGTCTTTATCTAAATGTCCCAGATTATTTGCACCGTATTCCAAGATGGATCTGACAAGAGCAATGTATGCTGTCTTTCTACATTCTCTGGGACAGTGATGCAGATTGCGTCATAGGAAGCCTAAGCCTAAAGAACATAAAGCAAGTAGTAAACGAAGCGAACACTTGGCTAGTGAAGACGAAGCGAACACTTGGCTAGCAAAGATGGCCTAAGGTAGAACTGGCCTTTTTTTGTAGTACTTGCTTTATGTTCTTTCACATTTCTCTGTGTCAAATTATTACAACTTTAGCTTTGTACTGTAAAGCTATATTAGAACTCTTTAGATAAGATCTGTTGAGCTACGGTACAGTAAAACAAAAGTCTTAGTCCTCAGAACCAATAAAAATATTACACTTATCCAATGGTTTGTTTCTATTACACTTATCCAATGGTTTGTTTCTATAACACAGTGATCTATTTATCTCTGTCACTGCATTGATAAAAATGTCTTAGGTTTTGGGTCTGCTGTCTTAAATATATACACCATTTCAGATGTAAAGTTTACAATGATTTACAAGTTATTGGCCTGTTTTGGTGTGAAATATACTATGAACATCAATAAGTATATTCAGGTTAACCTGTGGTGAACCCATTTTCTTCATGGAAATGTTTCTTTAATGCTCAAGACCTATTAAACGCAGGTACTGTAACAGAATGGACACAAAAAATGTCCAGCTTTGTGGCCTCATATTATTTCACATCTTCTATTTCCAGGGGTTACGATCACCTACGCTCTCTACACGAGAGCGTAGGTGATCATAACCCCTGGAAATCGAGGATGACTATTTCATAGTAACATGCATTGGATTAATGTTAGCACAAATATTTGAAGGAGTTCATTTCTGGGGAAATTATGAAATGAGAACTGCATGTATATGTTTTGAATTTGTAATGGTCAAGAATAATTTGAAGTGTTTAATGGCTTCGAGGTTTTACTAAACCCATTTTTTTGTATATTTTTAGGTGTCGTAACTATGAACCTTCAAGGACTTAAGAATCCTTCTGGAAGAGCATTACACTGCTTTTTGAAACACCACTGGCCAGCAAGATTATTAGGTACACCAAATGTCAGTACAGCTGTGCATGCATGCCACAAGACTCCAGTTACACTTACATTTGAGGGTTCCAACACTTCAGCGACTCAGTCGCAGAACAATCCCGGTGTTTTAAACATGTCATCATTTTGTGGATGTCTGGGTAGAGGACAACGATACAGTACTAGTGTTGGATCAAACAGTGATGAGGACCCCATACTCAAAATTGCCACCATCTCTGACACGAAAATGTCGACGTTCACAGAGATTGTACCAGGAAAGGGTCCCCCACCAGAACCTCCGGTGGAGTGCTGTATGAGTGGCTGTGCTAACTGTGTGTGGATAAAATATGCTGAGGAACTGAAGGAATATTACGGCAATGGGATAGAAAGGGCACTGAAGGAGATTGAATTAATTGACAACCCATCTCTCAAAGCTTTTATTAAATTAGAGCTTAGTCTTTTATGATAGATTTACTTAATAGAAACGTTTATTTTAGAGTGTACATGGAACTTTTGATGTGTGACCTACACTGTACTATTTTAGTGTTAACTACCGGTACTTAATTTTTATCACAAGTTACTTTTTAATTTCATTTGGAATAAGCCATGATATATTTATTAGATTTTATAATTACCATGTTTTATTTTGAACAGTTTTATAACAGTTTTATATACAATTTCTGGTCATTAGTCTTGTCTTTGAAAGATTAGAAAAAGAAAACATTTTTGCAGGAACTGATTATTTTTACAGCATTATTGGTGTTTATAGTTCTATATTAAACATCTGAAAGCGTGAAAACAAATGCTCTTGTAGCGTGTATTTATCAGTCTCTTCTAGACCTAACCGCTGTGAAATTAATTCCTTGTAAAGAACGTTGCTATGGTTAAATAGCTAGAACTACGAGATGTTTTATTTCAGTATGATAATGACTGTCAGTGGTTTATTTCTGGGTTCATTGTGGATAATGATTAATATTTAGTTACCTTCTTATTTTAAAGTTACAGAGATACTCTGTTTTATGACCATCATTGTTGATAATGATTGATATTAAGTTATCGTCTTATTTTAAAGTTACAGAGATACTATGTTTTATGACCAGGGATGTTAGATGATCATTGAAAAATAAAATTAAAAGTTCCACTACCAATTAACTTCAACGTCATGGCAGGGATCTGTAGCGTTACTTCCTCTTCACTTGACCAATCAGAAATACCGTAGATTTAGAGATGGTTTCTGTTTGTGATGAGCTATTTAATCAGGAACATGTATATCATTTTACAAAAAAGACCACACCGACGGTTTCATTTAAATCCTGTTTTGTAATAATGGCAGTATATGTAAAGTGTATGCTAATGGCTATATTTTGTTTGCATACTGAAATTACATAGGTAAAATCACTCAAACTCTGAACCCAGAATGCATTGAGTTTCAAAAGAATTTGGTTTTAATAGTTTTGCTAGACATCCCACCTTTATTTAAGTTTATTCAAACTTCATTGTGATAGAAATTCACTACCCTGAAATTTTAAAAGAGTTATCTCCCCTTTGACTTATCTGTGATAATTTTGCATTTAAAACCTGTTTTGTTGCAACATTAATAAAAATGTCACTGAAAAAAGAAACTGAATTTATGTTTTTTTATGGTGTTTAACAATAGTTTAACCGATTTATATTTTTATAACATGTATGTATATACTTCATAGTCTATATAGTATATACAATATACATGTACAATGTATATATATAAACTATATATATATTTAGTCATTAAATGGGAAAAAATAATAATTGATTAACAAATAACGGGACCACTATTTCCTCCTTATATTGATTCACCACAAAATAACGGGACGGCTGTATTCCCTCCTCATATTGATTCACCACAAAATAACGGCTCGGCTGTATTCTCCCTCATATTGATACACCACAAAATAACGGGACCGCTATTTCCTCCTTATAATGATATACCACAAAATAATGGGACGGCTGTATTCTCCCTCATATTTATACACCACAAAATAACGGGACCACTATTTCCTCCTTATAATGATATACCACAAAATAATGGGACGGCTGTATTCTCCCTCATATTGATACGCCACAAAATAACGGGACCACTGTATTCCCTCCTCATATTGATTCACCACAAAATAACGGGACGACTGCATTCCCTCCTCATATTGATACACCACAAAATAACGGGTCGGATGTATTCCCTCCTCATATTGATACACCACAAAATAACGAGACGGCTGTATTCCCTCCTCATATTGATTCACCACAAAATAACGGTACGGCTGTATTCCCTCCTCATATTGATTCACCACAAAATAACGGGACGACTGCATTCCCTCCTCATATTGATACACCACAAAATAACGGTACGGCTGTATTTCCTCCTCATATTGATACATCACAAAATAACGGGACGGCTGTATTTCCTCCTCATATTGATACACCACAATATAACGGGACGGCTGTATTCCCTACTCATATTGATACACCACAAAATATACATATAATTTGATACGCCCCAAGTGCACTTGCTTTTAATTATAATTTATTGGTTAGAACACCAATTATTCGTTGTCATTTTTCTTTTATGGGATATATACATCTAACATCTTAATATTGCCACAGACTGCAGTTCTTGGCCCTCACCTGCCCAAGACCGCTTTCGTGTATCGCGTTCCAATCGGTTGGACGAGAGTCGTTCGTTTATGAAATAAGGTTGCGATCGGACCTATTGATCTGATGCTGCTTTCAAACGAGCCACGACAAAGCCTTGTAAGGCACGCGTAAATATTTGAAGGTTTCCCAGGATTTGCTCACGAAAATGTTACATTTAAAAGCAGACAACCCGGTTGTTTCACATAAACGAACAGGCCCCTGCGTTTATTACTTAAATGGTAAGACCGGATACGCGAAGGGGGTTCTGTAAAGTAATAACATAAACCAAAAACTGACCTGGACCACGGACTAAAATACTCATCTTATTCCGTGCCTGGACTGAAAGAAATCTGAAAGAAATAAAACAAAGCGAAGTGAAACAATATAAGGTTAGTCGATTACCGAGATCTCCGCTGTTATTTCGTAAAAAACTTACCGATTTGACAGAGAACATGTCTAGCTCAATTAACACCGATGACGGATGACATCGCAGTTATTGCAAAAAGCAGTGAACAACAATATCCATGGGTCTGAGTGATGGGCGAAGTGTGTGTCCTTGAACCGGGAAAGGTGAAGAGCTTTATACGACTGT